CCGCAACCTTTAGAACCAGAACAATATCTACTTTACCGACCATTAAAATTACTTCAGAACAACAAATCGGTTAAGTTAAGGTGTTCCATTTGCTGGGAACATTTTAAGAGGACGAAATGGTGAGACAATTACTGTGCTCTCATATCTACCATGATGAGTGCATATTTCCGTGGTTACAAATGCATGCAACATGCCCCATTTGCCGAAGTAGGGTGCGCCCAAGAAGCGAATGAGAATACATTCATTTATAAAGCTTGTTAAGTTTCAACTTTAAATTTTTTTATTAATATGAGCATGTACTTACATTGTACATAATATGAAAAGCATAAGCTATAATAAAAGAACTAAAAAGAGTTGAATGTATATATATATATATATATATAAAGGATGTCTGCCTGTGTGTTTATGTCCTATGCTTTCATAAACGATACATCTATCACCGAACAGGGTTTGCATATTTTAAATGAAACCAAAAATAAAGGTTAGCCACCCGGAAGAATTTTTAAAATATTTTTTGCCTATATTTATTTTTTTTATAATGCGTATATACAAAACACATAACCCTAAATTTTCACTCTCTTACCACAAATCCCTATTTCATAAGAAAAATAGTATTTGCAACATTTTTTATACCAATATCTGTTAGGGAACGTTTTTGACTGAAATTATTGATGAAGCTTAATTTTTTTTTGTTCAAGAAACATTTTATTTTCATTACGGGTTGACCACCTCTAACACTTTCAAATTGTTTTAAGACATTTCTTGCGGAATTAAAATGTAAGTACATATAGATATTAATATAAAGTAAAGCGGGGCTTGAAGCTCTACAGATAAAATCGTCCACCTAAATTTACGATATCTAAATATAATTTATAAGTATACTTTAATTGTTTTTTAAAGATTTTTTATACAGCGTCTATAAAGGTGTGGCTGGGGTAAAAAGGACCAACACAACTTCACACTTGCAAAGGCGTAAAAAATAAATTTGGTTTTCACAGTATATTTATTGAAAGTCAAAAATACTGATATGCTTATAGCTTATATTTTGTGATGTTGAATGGGATATTTCACTCGAAGATGCATCTACAGCTCAACAATGAATCATGAAAGGTACGTGTGCTATTTTCCATCTTGATAACTACATGAAATAGAATCGCATTTTTGTTTAGATTTTTATACATATGTATATATAATAGAAAAAGATTTAGATTCTGAAGACTAAGATTCTAATACTATGTATCTCATACTTACTGTATATGCAACTGTATATATTTTGATGGTCCTCTCGAAAGCCTGAAGTGTTAAATCAGCACAGGCATCAGAACAACTATTTGTCCAAGGGTGCACATATTCAATACAAGTAGTATCATTGGTTTAAATTTACTCAACAACACCATTTTGGCGACTGAAAAAATCGATATTATTAATACAGAATCAACTGCGATGAACAATTATATTGTTTTTAATCAATATATTCGAATGACCCAAATATACGTCACTCAAATGATTTTATCAAAGTTCAAGACATTTTTTTATTGAGATAACACACACACTTTTATGGTGTTTTTTATGAGTTGTTTGACTACGTACTTCGAGTTCGCAATGAACACAGGTGTTTAGATATTTTGATTTTGTTCAAAATATTTAAAAACAAACTGCATTTGGCGGTATCATTGTTTATATTCCATTTCAAAACATACAAATTGTCAAATGAATTGACATATGATCGAATTGAAATGTCAAAGTGAACGTTGCGGAATTTGATATAAGATGGAGCTAGTAGTAACTTAAATCCAAGCGCAAAATTTGAATTCACTTAATTCTCAAACTACGAAAATAATTATATTTCAATTCAATGAATTTTTAATTTGATGTAATGCGTTTTTGTATGAACTCATGATTTTATTTAACTAAAATAACTTGGTGTATGTGATATTTTGCCTTGAGGCAATTTGCATTAACTTCCCGACACGTGCAAATAATCATAAAAAACTGAGATTAGCTATTTAGATAAAATTTTCAACTGTTTTTTTGACTTTTTATTCGAAGCTAATCAATGGAATTTACATACTTTTCAAACAGAGTTTTAATATCTTTAATTGTATTACATTTTAAAAAGCGCGGACTTTTCCAAACTTCAATAAATTTTTATAATTCAGACACTTTTGGTAAGACTAGAATTGTTACTATGAAATTTACATCGAAATCTTACAAAAATCTTTAGCCTATCTTTACTAAAAACTAATCAGCACGATTATCATCTGATCTTTTCAATGGTTTTTGAATTGTCAAAATCTGTTCAGGATCAATATATATATATATATATATATATATATATTATATATATGTTAACTAATACTAATTGATATATCTTTATAAATATATTTTAGTATCATTTATGTATCCACTATATTCATTTTGTGGAACATTTTTCACAATACACGAATTTATATAAAAGAGTGTACTATCTCATCACTACACTAATTTCAGTAACAATTTTTTAAGCGCAAATCAGATATATATATATATATATATATCTATATATCTATATATATATATATATATATATATATATATTAGATATTAGTCTTGGATTTGTAAATATTTTGTAGAGTTTCGAACAAGAATCCAAATGTTATAAAAAACAAAAGTTTTTTTTAAACCATTTCTTTATATATTTACTGTCGACGTTTCGGAACTAGGTACGTTCCATCTTCAGAATCTTTCTGTCTAGAAACATGATCTTGATATGAACAACTTTGGGCCGACTTTTGCGAATCTAATCTTAAGTTAGGGGTTGAACAAGCAATTTATTGAAAAAAAGTAGAAAACGGTGGATTTTATATATAAAATAATAAAATTGCGGTAGAAATAACATTACATAAATATGACAATATAATCAAAATGGAAGGAATAAAAATAAGTGTGTAGATCATATAACAAAATATTAAAAATGTTAGAAAATTAGAAAGTTTAAAAAAAAAAGGGTTAAGAAAAATAGATTTAATTACCTATATGATTGATTATATACACTAACACTTTTTCACTAAAAACAATTTTATCAAAAAAAATTCCTTTCAGACGAAGAAATAATTTTTGTAATTCAAATATTTTTAAGTTTGTTATGTGAGACAAAAAGATTTATTCCTTTGATGTTATGAGTTAACTTTTTGGTAACAAACCGATTATTGAAAGGATAAATTTTAAGGAGAAACACTTGACTTATACATGCAGAATTTTTATCTTGTTAAAATTCATCCAATTACAATTCAAAATAATTTGAATTACAAAACTTATTTCTTCGCCTGAAAAGAAATGTATAAAAAGATGATTTTTTTATTGATAAAATCGTTTCAATCATACAGGTATTAATTCTGTTTCTTCTTACCTTTTTTTAAAACATTTAATTTTCTAACATTTTTAATATTTTGTTATGTAATCCACTCATTTATTTTTATTATTTTCATGTTGATCATATTGTCACATATTTGTAATGTTACTTCTTCCACAATTTTATTCATTTTATATCACTTTTGGGATTCTTTATTTGAAGCTTTACAAAATATTTACAAATCCAAGACTCTAACAATTTATATATATAATTATATTAATTATATATATATATATTAAATTAAATATATATATATATATATTAATTTGGAAATATGAACAAAAACTCTTTTTTGCACTAATTTATTAAATAATAATTTTCACATACGTTTCGAGACTAGGTTTGTCTCATCATCAGTGTGTTGGAAGAATTAGAGTCCTTCCTTTCTATCTGATATTGCGTGACTAACCACTTGAGATTGAATAGAGAATTCGGACTCCGACGATCGTTG